AAACATTTTGCTGTATTTGCTTTATCACTTTTATCCATCTCTCCTTCTATCCATCCACCTTATTTTATGTGTGTTTCAAAGTAACTTGAATCTATTTTTTATGCATTTCAAAGTAAGTTGCAAACATTGATAGACTTCACCCCTAAACACTTTAGCATTTATTCATTAACTAGAGTTCAATATTTCTTTATAATTTTTTTCTTTAATTATGTTTTATAATTTGTCTAGCTCCTTTAGTCCAGCACTTAGTTTTTCTCCTTTTAAATAACTAGTATAATAACATTTAAGATATACTATTTCAGGCCATTTTAGGGGAATTCCCACCCAACAACCCCTCATTTTTTTTTTTTTAATCAAAGATCAGGGGAGTCTTCTCCCTCCAGGCCCCAAATTAGGTAATAGATTATTTTTATTATAAGTCAGTAAATGTAAGGTTCAGAATTCTAAGAAGCATTTCTTAGTTCAGGTTGCTAGAACAAAATATCACAGACTGGGTGGCTTATAAACAGCAGAAATTTATTTCTCATGGTTCTAGAGTCTGGAGATCTGAGATGAGGGGGCCATCATGGTCGGGATCTAGGTTGCAGACTGCTGAATTGTAGTCCTATCCTCACACGGTGGAAGGGGAGAGGAAGCTCTCTGGGGTCTCTTTTATAAGGACACTAATCCCGCTCATGAGGGCTCCACTCTCGTGACCTAATCATCTCCCAAAGGCCCCTCGCCCAAACACCATCACATTGGGGATTAGGTTTCAACATATGAATTTTAGGGGAATTCAAACATTCAGTCTATAGCAATACGGATACCAATAAGAAGAAATTTTCATTAAAGTCCTTTACTTTCAAACCAAGGAAGTATTAAGTAATAATAAGTCACTATCTACACATTTTTCTCAGCCCTTGGATGGTGAAGCTTCTCTCCTTCCTGGTTTCTAAGCTTTGGGCAGAGAGTCAGAGAAGCTCCCTCTCTTCTGAAGGAGGGACAATAAGAGGCTCATCAACAGTTTAGCATCATGGACATGACCTGGTGACAAATCCTCCCCATTCCAGCTTCCTACTTTCCTCTTGCTTATCCAAGATGGGCAGTGATGTCATCTACCACAGCTTTTCTTTCTCATGTGGAGCTCTGACAGATGAACTTGGTCTACATGCTAACAGGAATGCTGTACTGCAAATCAGCAAAACGTGAACTCTACCAAATACTCCACACTCAGTTATACCTTACATCTGTGATCTCATGGGACTAGAACAGCCTGAGCCTTGTGTATCATGCTCTTCTAGTGACAGTCCCCACTGGAAGAACTATCATGGGACAAATGGCCAAGAATGACCAAGGAGGTTCCTGGATCACTTACTCAAGATTGTCCAAGGATTTCTTTCATATACGCATACTATCAAGTGCTTTAAATGAATTTCCTCATGTAATCCTCACAACCTTATTATGTGACAAATAGCATTATTAACACTGTTTACAGTTGATGCAACTAAGGCTTGAAGAGATTAAATAATTTCTCCAAGGTCTCATGGCTGGTAAGAAGCATAACAGGGATAGGTTGAACCCAGGTCTAACTCAAAGCTTATGTTCATATTTATTATATAGTGTATTTGCTTCTAAGTACAGCCTTGGTTTCATCCCATATATTTTCCAACAGCAGTAATAAAGAGAGCATAACCTGGTAAAATAAGGAGATTTTCTACCAAGGTTTTTTCTTTCCCCTGCTTTTCTAGTTTCCATGGCCTTCCACTCATTGAGCCATTAAAATGAATTTCCTATTCCAAAAACCTCTGCAGATCAAGAGCCAAAGCCTGAAGGGCTTAAAGCATAGTTTGTACCTTAAATCATACTTTGGGGGAAAATTCATAATGATGTTAGAGTTAGACACTGCGAAGGGCTGAGTCACGAAGTGTAGAACATTCTGGGGAAACATGTCGGACAGAAACAAAATTCCTGCTCTGAAAAGGGAGATATGGCAGACATTTGCTGTGTTTGGCTGCTCAGCATGTGGGGAACTCTCTATCTGAGTATAGAAGATCTTGCACCTAACTATGGACACTGAAGGGGTGCAGACATTTCTCTGTTCTCTTTCTAGTATGAAGGCATGTGGCCCAGGCTCAGCCAAACAGTGCTCCAGTCCAAGAATCTGAATCTGGAGGCACTGACCCAGAGGTGTGGAGGGGAGTCGAGAAAGATTCTAGAATGCTTCAATATTTATCCCCAAGAGAATAAAGTAGATGTGACCAAGTTTCCTTTAATGCGCAAGTTTAAGTTTTCTACCATCAGCAGAATTTTGCCTTGATCTACACAGAGAAACAACGGTAGCTTTTTACATATATAAATTGTGACCATGAATACTACACAGACAAAAATATGTGACATTTAAAGAGTGCTTTTTAAGTGTCATCTCAATCTAAGAACAAAAATCCTCTAAGATAGGTATTATTGTCTCCATTTCAAGCTCCTAGATCAGAATCAGTTGGTGGCCACATGACTTCAAGTCCATGCCCCATGCTCTTAACTGAGTATTCTAATTGTCATTCATCTGTTTTGACTGTGCCTTCATGCTGTTGGTCATGAACACTGGACTCATGGCCAACAGCACTATAACTCACAAAGGAAGCTTATCTAACACACACATTTTCCTGAACTTAGGAATCCTAAACAGCACCACAACACTTCACTTGCAGAACATTTTAAATAGTAAAATCACCAACACAAAAAGACAAAAATGCAAAAATCATGACACTAACTAGACTGTGAAGAGGTCATTTGTTTGCAGTATGAAAGCTGAAACAAGAAGAGCGTCTCCTTTTCAACCTGGAAACCTGTGTGTTGAACAACTCACATTTTTCGCTGCTCTGCACGTGTCCTCAAATGACTGCCTAAGCATCGAAAGTATTGATTTTAGGGTTACAAATAAATCTTAGGGAGTATTCGACTCATAAATATAGAATCTACAAATAAATGAGGATTGACTGTATTGATCAACCTCTAGAAGACACAAATGACCAATATCAGAAAAGATACAGGGGCGCCCCTGCACAACATACAGAAGGTGAAAGGATAACAAAATGCTATCAACAACTTTATGCCTGTAAATCCCACCACTTAGATGGATGAAATGGACGAATCCCTTTTAAGGTACAAGTCACCAAAGCTCCCACAAGAAGAAATAGATAATCTAAATTATTCTGTATCTATTAATAAAGCTGAATTTATTATTTAAAACCTTCCATCCACCCAAAAATGAAAACACCTCCATGCCTAGATGGCTTATTTGAAGATTTGTAGCAAATGTTTATAGAAGAAATAATACTAATTTTGTACAAACTCTTCCAGAAAATAGAAGAGAGGACCCTCTTCAACTTCTTTTATAAGGCCAGCATTGTCCTGAGTTTTAAATCTGGAAAAAAACAAACAAAACCCAAAACATTACAAGAATAGAAAACTAAATAAAGAGCAACATCCCCCAAAACATAACTGAGACAGATTAAAGAAGCTATAAATAAATAGAAAGGTACACTATGCTGACGGATCAGCAAGCTCAATATTATGAAGAGATCAGTTCTTCCCAAGTTTACCTATAAATTCAAGGCAATACCAATAAAAATCCCAGCAGGCTTTTTCTTTGTTTGTTTGTTTGTTTTATAGTAATTGACAGGTTGATTCTAAAATTTATATGGGAATGCAAAGGACCTAAAATGGATAAAACAACTTTGAAAAGAAAAAAATGAGTCGTATTTACACTACCTGATTTCAAGACTTATATAAAGCTGCAGTAATCAAAACTGTGGTATTAGTGTACAAATACATATATAGATCAATAGAATGGAATAGAGAGCCACATATAACTGGCCAACTGGGAAAGAATTATCTTTTCAAGAAATGATACTGGAGCGATTGGATATTCATATGCCAAATAAGAGAGAGTTACAACCCTGACTTCATACCACACGCCATAATAAAAATGAATGTAGGCGCTAAAACTAAATGTAAAAGCTAAAACTGTAACACTTCTAGAAGAAAACATAGAAACTTTTCATGATCTTAGAATCGGTAAGGAGTTCTTAAATAGGACATAAAACAAAAAAGAAATGATAACTTGGGTCGATCACCCTCCGTGCCATTTCTTGTCTCTGCTGCCTGGGTTCCAGCTAGGACCAGCTGGGCAGTGACTCCCCCGCACACCAGCCTGGCGCCCTTGGTAGGGGCCAACTTTGGCGGAGCCCTAACCCTATTCAGCACATTGTCCCTTCCACGTGCCGGCTGCTAAGGCCAGCTTTAAGGCCTACAGACTCCAAAGATGCCATGAAGTTCAGATTTTGTCCCTCACCCACTCTCAGGCCCTCTGTAGCCTCAGCCTTCACCTCTGTACAGGGGGATGTGAGTGAAACTTGGTGGTCCCCTGACGGGCTCCCCTGTGTTCAGCTGTCTCCACACCATAGCGCTGAAGTTCTGGTTAGTCTAGAGGTGATAGAGAATTCTCCCTCCTGGGTTCATCTGCTCATTTCAGTGGGCATTTGTTGGCAAAATGGCAAGGGGAACTGAATATAAGGGGTTAGATGCCCACCAATCACCACCAGGAGCCCCTTTTGACTCAGGCTGGGCCAGGCTTTCTAACTCTAACGCTGAAAGTGCTCCAGTCCAGTATTTGCCCGACGCAGTGGGAGGGAGTCAACGGGGTAGGGCCCAGCCTTACAGCTGCCCTGTGATCAGCAAGTCAGTTCACTTCAGGGCCCCTTATTGAGAGCTTTTCAAATTAGCTTCCTTTCCTTAGAATTTCCTGGGCCCCTTCTCCATAGAGGAGTTGTCCTGGGGAGTCACACTCCCGCTGCGCCCTCAGGCCAGAGCCCTCACGCCGGGGCGGGGCCATAGCCGAGGCCGAGACTCCCTAGAGCCAGGTGTGCCTTGACCACCGCCCCAAGGTCAGGAAAGGTCAGGACCTCGATAAGCTGAAGGGACAAAAAGGCCCCGAGGGATGGGTAGGACTTCAAAGGGCGGAGATGAGCCGGCGCTTCCTTTTCAACCTGGATTCGCAGCAGAGGGTACGTCCCCGGGGGAGAGCGGACGTGCCCTGCGGACCCGGCGTCCCTAGACCTGGGAAGGCGGCGCACGCGGAGGAGGCGGGGAGAGCGCCTGTCCCAGGCCTGGAGCGCGGTCCTCGCCGCGCGTCGGCCGCCGAGCAGCTGCGGGAACCCGCGCGGAGGCGCAGGATTCCGAGTCCCGGGATCGCACAGCTCGGGGCTGGGATCCAAGAGGCCCCGGCTCCGGGTCCGCACCCGGAGAGCCCCGGGCAGCCTTCAGGGTCCCTACGCGGGGCGAGTCCTCG